AAATTTACAGGCACAGTAACCAACCGATCAGTATCAGTTTATTTTTAGTTTTCGTCCGCATTGTTTTCTAAGACTACCCTCCCCCGGTCTCTGTTGGTCATCTTCGCTTTTCGTAATTCCAGCGAATATTGCTCGATTTTGGAGTACGAAAGTACGTCCCTCTGTTATTTCTCAACATTCTGGCCTTCTCAACTTTCCCCCGCTCCCTCCCTGTCTACGCGTTCTCCAGGTTCGAATCCCTTCTACAATATCTCTCATAGTTCTGACTGCTCGATCGTGAAAAGTTTATCGATCTTTACTAGGGTCGAATGCGCGACAGAAGGGGCAAGGCTCCAGCACTGATAGCGTTTTAACCACGAGGGCACCAGTCCTCGACCAACAACCTTTCGTTTTTCACGTTTTTTTGCCCAACCTACTGCAACGCCTTGAAGCCACACATGTTATGCAGCAAGTTGACCGCCCAAGCGAGTCCTCTCAAACAATTGGTCTAGAATCTACAGTTGTTCGCTTTCACTTGTTTCATTTTAAGGAAATGTCACCTCTTCCTACTTTTAGGAAAAGTGCCGTCCTGAGTAGACCCGCTTCATAGTCCCACCTCTCTGCCTCGAAGGATTCCTTCGAAGGCTCTAAGGGCCTTTATCATCCGAGAAGAATATCTGCTTCCACGGATTCCTTTTCTACTGACTGCGTCGTGCTATCTCAGGTATGTATGTAGCGCCCTGTTCTTCATACTTCACTGTGCCTAATTATGCCATACGCATGCGCCTTCTTGGAAAGCCTTATAAGTTAGCTTTGTATTGAGATCAGCCGAACCTATCTCACGTCTTCCTGCTACAACTTATTTTGAGCACATGGGGTTTTAGAATGTTTACATTTGCCAGAGCGTTCCCATCCTTTCGTTCTCGGATTCGTAACCGTAGTTTAACCAGTTTGCTATCTTCAGCGGCCTGTTTTATGATATTTTTGTGCAGGAAATTTTAGTATTGTGTTTCGGGGACTACCGTCATGCTTGTTTGGCGATGTTCACATAGTCCAACGTCCGCATTCACCAGCTGGTAGTTAATTAGGACCCGTTTCTGGGTACGGTACAGTGCGTACTCGCCGCGTCGCTTTAACTCCTGTGTCTCCCCTACTCCTTTCCTGCCGCACGTCGGAGTCATTTTTATCCGATGCATGGCAGGTGGCGCATTCCACTGTTGCTTCCATCTGATGTATTTTTATCATGTGTCCGATGAAATCTACACTGGTCTGCCCGCGCCGTGTGACTTGTGAGGTTCAAATAGTTATGGGCAGCGTCTTCTCTACAGGATCTGGCCAAATCGACCATCAGGCTATAAATTCAGGTGTCCGGACCCCATAAGACGTCTGCCAACTATTTTCGGACCAGGTTTTTGTCATATGGGCAGAGTAAGGACAACATCACCCAATTTTACTCTGTTCTTAAGGGTTTTAAAAGCCACAGAAAGAATCCACAGGCCCCCAGGCGCCATCCAAATTGCTACCAAGATCTACGTATAATAGACACCCAGACCGGCGGCTGCAGAGCAGAATGAGCGGAAAAATACTTGACAGGCTTTTGCTGAGGCCGGCCGGATCGAAGCGATCACAGCTGTAACAGATGCAAGTAATTGAGCTAAGTGGTTGTCCGTAGCCATCCTTCTCTTGTCCAAAAAGGCTTAGGGTGGTTGTTTATTATGACTCGCCCACCTCAAAGTTTTCTCTTCTCGGTGTTTGCATCGCCATTTATGCACCTCGTATTTCCGTGTATCGGCATAATTCTCTTGACTGATATTTTGCGGTTTAGACAGATTCACCTCCCATACAATTGTCTCATATCATGACGAATGGTACTTACAACTGTCAGATTCATGTCTGTGTACATCTACACCCAGAATTGCGTGCTTAATTGCTTTCTGGCCTAGGCCAATGATTTGCAAATATACCAAGATTTCAACTGTTCAAATATATTAATAAGAGCCTAGGTGAAACATCATTATCATTCTAAGCCCGAACCACCATTATCGGATTCACAAATCATTTTTTACTTACTTTTTTCTATGACTGACCCATTAGGCGTTATGACTCTGACAATATCCATTAAAATAGATCTCTTACAGTATCCCAACGCCTGTTTCCCTGCTTGTTCACCTAACCAAAAGTGATGATGCCTCACACTTCTTTTGCCATTCGACGACGACTCCCACAATCTGCCAGGCCTCTCATCTTTTGTCTCTAATTGCAATGATAGTGTTACCACTTCTCTTAAATTTCGTAGCTATGGGGTTATCTTTGATTTCCTGCACCCATTCGAATACCTGATTTTTAAATAAAATTTCTTTGTCTTATACGCGGCCAATGTATCTTGTAAATATGGGTGTCGAAAATCCTCGCCCATCTTATTAAGGCTTGCCCTCCGGCACGTCCTGCCACCAGACGACCAGCAATGCATCAGCCATGAGTTTTATGTTATTTCACGGTGGCTCAGTCTACCACTTGCAATGAAATTCTGAGCTAAAATATATCACCTGGAAATCGATGGGACCGAGAATTTTCTGAACATGGTTACATGGGAATAAGATTCCCTGCATTAATTACGCAAGGCGGCATCAGTCCGGGATTCCTCGATGCTTCTGTCTACCAGGCATCGAGGATGTGGATTCCCGTCGCTTATAATCTTTCTCTCTACTCTCACCCGTAAAAAGTTTTGCAAAGAGAGCCGGTTCCAACCAAGTAGATTCCGCTCATTACCTCGAGTTCTCATACTTGGTCTGATTACTGTTTATTTTTCTAAATTACCCAGACCGATTTTCCATGACACATGCCGTCCTCCCGTAGTGCTTACGCACTAAGTCACAAGCTTGTCCTTCGGTGATTATTTTTAACCCGTCCTTCGACCTCCTTATCCAGAAGTTATGGTATCGTACAAGTGGCGGAGTGACAGCCAAATGCTTCTAAATGACCTGAGTTTTTCTTTTATATTTAATCCAGCCAAGGGAAGACACAGTATGCAAAGGAGATGGTCCGGTCATCGACTGACCCAGCTTCTCACAAAATGCACCTTCCGAATTTGGGGAAAATCATGTTGTGTTCTTTTTTATCATCCTGTTATGGTTTCTGTTTGAATTCGTGATGGGGTCTTTGATGTAGTTTAAAAGGCTCAACGCCTCCTTATAAATGTTTTTTTCATTTGAATAGAACCATTGATTGCGAGAGGGCAGGTAGCGAATGTCAATAGACATTGACCGAAATCCAGCAAGCATATTCTTCAGTAGGAATACCGACTCTGAATTAGATATACACAACGCATAAGCTTTCACTAATTCCTACACGGTGCCGCGCTAATTATCTGTTCAACTTTTGGATCATCTGAGCCTTTTTGCTTAGATCGAGATCGGTAGTAAATGCGCACATTTTTCCACAGTCTGCTAGCCTGTGCACAAGGTCAACTAGTTTGGTTTGAAGAAAATTAAGACAGATTTCTAGTTCCCTAGTTATTCTGCACGGAGTCCAGTGTTCCTAGTATATGCTATCTGGATTTATAGGGGACTGTGGTTCTTTAAAATGTTGGATTTTGGCTTCAAAATGCTGGTTTTAGTCTGCAAGTGATCTGATAACCGCCGCTTTCTTGCCCTTGCTTGAGAACTATGACAATTGTTCAAGGGTTATTTTGCCAGTTTCAGAATGCATTTCAGCAACGGCAGTAGACAGAGAAGAACTTTCACGGAACACGCGTCGAAGGTATTCATAAATTCGAAAAAAACCTGGTAGCATCGATTGCTTCGACAAAAATACAACCGAAAGTGTTTACGAACCCAGAATACTTCATGTTTTCGAATGTTTAGTTTTTTTAATGGGCGTTACCTACTCGGGGAGCAGAGTTCGTATTAAGCATACTACCTGCCAATTCCTTACGTTAAAACGTGGGTAGCCACAAATGAGCACAGAAAACGGCGGAAAATATATGTACATTATCTAAGTAGGTATTTTTGAGTACGACTGCCGTAGACGGCCTTCCGTCTTTGATGGCCATGGAGGAATTCATGAGCGCTCCATAGTGTAATTATCTATTTGCGATTTCCGAGTCTAGCACCGGATCCGGCCTAGTTTATTGATCTACTTTCTCATCTGGGCTCTTCCGTGTCACCGACTCTCGGGTCCTGTTTGTCGGTGCTGATCGTTTGTCTGGTACCTATCTGCACGACTGTTCTGCAAGTGTTCGCGTAGCTCTAAGACTAAAAGACTTGAGGGCCTGGAATCATTTATTGTGCATCTTTTTTGATACGCTCCATTGAAGACAGATAGCATCGGTGCTACTTATGATTGTCTGGTCTTGTATACGCTTTGTTGCGCGCCCAAAAGCTGGCGGTGTGTTTCAAGCGATAGTCGGGACGGAATGCGCTTTCGTCAGTGCGCCTGACCTCACCTACAGCCGACCAGCTTCAATCCTGCCACTGGTGAATGAGAGTGAAGTCGATTTAGACTCCTACCTCAGGTTTTGATTCTCCATAGAAGTCATGATTTAAATGCCAGTTGTCCAGACTGAATCAAACTGTGGCAGCTATTTGTCAGTGCGGCCTTCTGGCAACCCTCATCCATGTGATGCCCAGGCATTTCAATTGGGTTTTTTGTCGATTAAAGGACCAATACATGTGTGGCAGTCTAGAGACTAGCGAACGTCCAATCAGCCACTGTGTTTAGGGCGATTTCCGGCCGCCTTCATGTGGTTTTGTCAGTTGAACGCGTGGCAGTTCACTTTGTGTCCTGGTGCTTAAATGTTTGAGTCAGACTCCGTTGACGCTTGTGCTGGGGATTTGATTTTTGGGTATTTAACTCTTCGCAGGTTCTATGTAGCTGCCACCTTCACACCGCTCTCCATGAGGTCGGTTCTTGACCATCTTCGCCTGCCTGCCTGCCAGCACAATTGAATTAGGCTATGCAGTACAAGTTGATTTTCCGGCCCTTCATTTTTTTCCTTTTCGTTCCTAACAGCAGCACCCAAAATGAACCTGCATGCCAACTTTATGCAACTTTGGTCCGCCAAGTTCCCCAGTTGCACTGATTCCATCCCCCGACTGGACTGCCTCAAGGCTGATCAGTTTCTCACTGTGAATGAACAACGTGCTGCGCTAGAAGTTGCGCACTCTGAAGTGGTTTCCTCCACGGAAAACCTGCGGACAGCTCTCAATCAACAGATGTTTATTGCTGACTACCTACGCTCCTGCATCACAAAGTTGGGCGCCGTCTCCAAGGTGTTCAGCGAACTGGAGGAAAATGGTGAGCTGGACGGCAACATGTCAGTCTGCGATGCCACCACCTCCGACCGAGCTCCTTTGAAAAGCGAGCCTCAGCAGCAGCAGCAGCAGCAGACACCGGCGCGCACCAGTCGCTGCTCGACCCCCGGCGGCACACCAACCGCAGTATCCACCACAGGAGCCACCGTGCCAACGACGGCTGCTGCCCTAAATCTCTCCACCTCCGCGCCCCCGCTCCCTCTGCTGCCGTCTTTCCTTCAGACTGCTTCTCCTCTTCTCTCTGCAGCCTCGCGCAACTTCCTCTTCCAGTCTGCCATCTCACAACCGTCCATGGAGCAGATGTGAGTCCTCATACCGTTGATGTCTGGCTTTCATACAGCTGCATGCACATACCCTCGGCCGATTCTTTTGTGTTATGGAGACACTTACTGTCTCACCAGAATGAGTTGCTTAGGATATTCTCAATGATGCACGTCTCGAGCTAACCGGAGAGATCAAGTTTTTTTTAGGAGTTCAGGGTGTCTTGTCATCGTTTTTGGTGGGAAATCGCACCTCTTTGCACCACGGTCCTTCTGCAAGTCTGGTCAGAATGTGGGTTATAGCCCCCCCGATCGTCCACAACGACGGCTAGACCATGACTTGCCGAACAGCGGTTGCCTGGAGCGACTTTTAGGAAGGATGGTTTTCGTATTTCCCGAATCCGAAGGTGGACATCACCACCCACCCCTCCGTCCCACCTGTTTAGACTTGGTTGTCGCCTTACTGCATGGCGATGGCAGTCATAATTTTGTAATAACGCTGAGGTTTTTGACTCCCGTAGATAATATCTTATGCCGTCCCCTTTAACATAAGCGCAGTGAAGACTTCACGCACGCAAGCGTCTCTATGCTGAGAAGAGGGCTCAGGGTGCCTGTCTTGGTTAAGGTTATGCGGGGGCCTCTAATGTTTCTGAGCACCCTTGGTTTCAGCAAACAAGTAACTATTATTGAAAGGCCATGCCAAAGTCGTCTGCGGAGCGACGTTTTCGTCGAGTGCACCTCCCTAAGGAAGAAGGTGCATTCACGACCTAATCGACGTCAGCTTTGATGGCTGCTTACCAAACACTGCCATGCTGCTTCTCTGATCTGCGACATTATTTAGCCTAAACGGCGCGAAGAGACGGTGTAGATGAGGCAGACGGGAACTCAGCATTCAGTAATTTGATTAGGATTGTTCATTTCAGGTAATTAAACAGCTTATTTTGTCCCACATAGGGACAGTTAACCCCACTTTTGTCCCGTATTGTTTCTGCAAATTTTCCTACACATACTAACGCTGCTGTTTCTAATAATACATTAGTGGGGACCATGGTAGCAAGCATCCCTGGCTGACCGGTACAGTGAAAGAAGCGCCCATTAACCACCAGGCCCCAACCCTTAGCCGGAGAGCACAAACAACCATCTCTCCCCTAAGACGTACTTTTATGCCCTCATTCCCCCTCCCCCACCTTCTCTCCATTTTTACCCAGGTACTTTAGATGCACGTCGGGTGTTAGTGTGCCTAAGCGACGCGTCCCAACCGAAGGTCTTACAATCCGAGCCCTAGATTTTACCACAGAAGACCTAGTGTCGCAGGTCGAAATTGCCCCTTTACATCTTGTTCGCGCAACAAATGCCTCCTAGTGAACACTGTTTCTTCTGCAATGCTACTTATGGGCCATGTTTTCACTACCATCACTCGTGAACATGTTTGTTACTCTTTCGAAACCCTTGCAACTTTGGTGGTGATTTGACAGGCACAAAAAATTTCGAGCCGAGCTCGTTCCCTGGCACTTGTTTGTTCCGCTTCGTCAAAAGTTGAGGAGAGTAGATCTAGCAGCCACTGTGCAATTGTGTCTAGAAGTTCCACTTTTCTCACTGGGATCTGCGAATAGGAGAAGTCCTCGGCGTTTCTAATCCCGGGGAGTCCTGTTTGCTGCAGTTCATAATTTTTTTATTCGTTGCCTTTCCTGCCATCTTCTACTCAATCCACTTGTCCTTCGACAATTATGACAATAAGTAACTTACCACTTATACCGCCGCGGGCCATTTCGAAGCTCAGCGCAAAGCAAGGACGGTCCACTAATCGAGGATTGTGATTAGACCATGGTCAGGCAGAACTGAATGGTCTCGTCCACTTAATTACATCGATCCCTCACCTGCATTCCTACCCGGTCTCAGAAAAACCTTCAGGGTGTAGACGTGGGCGGGCACCTAAAAATCTCCACTACACCGAGAACGCCATGTTACTTACGGGATACCGCGACTTTCCATAAAAGATAACATTGAGATCTTGTGGCGTCTTCGAGGAAGTCGACCTAAATGTGGGGACGCCTAAACAGAAGTTTGTCTCAAAATCAAAGTCGCGTCTTCGTCCTCGAGTCACATTTACGACAACATCGGTACACCGAGCTAACCATGCCGACGTTTTTACTCACGTCTGGTGCTGTGATCCGGAAAAATAGTGTCTGGTGGCCAAACTTCGCTTCTGTGGGACCCATGCCAGATCTCATATTAAACCACGGTCTCTGTGTCTAGCGTGGACACAGTGGTTGAAGCGTTCGATGTAGCGACTGCAAAACCTAGATCTACGCGTACTGCCCTCAACAATCGCCTCACCGCCTATCGCGCTCGCACTCCCGAATCCGTTCCAGCTGCTCAGCGGCCAGCTATATTACCTACCCCCAGTCTTCATTCCCTTTTCGACTCCAATACGATCGACACTTCTGCCTGAATCCGATTTTGGCACACATTTAGCACTAGGGAACGGCTCTTTGAACATCTTGGTGTGTCTTAGTTTCGAAGCTGAACTCTCTACCAGCCCCTCAAACCTCAGACACAATCTAGTTGGGATTGGCGAACGTCGATTACGATGAGAGAGCTATCAGTGAAAACCGGAGGGGTCCCTGATCTCATGTACTTGACATTTGCCACGATGTTCACCTGGAAATCTCCACTACACTGGGAATCCTGTCATTGCGTCCTGACCGAGGACCGATTTGTCCTGTCAGTTATTATTTATCCAAGCACCGCTCTTTAACACGTCAGCCTTATTATTAATGAATAAAATGAGAGCCCTATTCCCCCCTCCTTTCAAACAAGTAAAAAGTCCGCGTTAAAGCCGACTGGACGTGAAATTGGACGCAGTATCTGGCGTTTCCGAAAATCCTCCTTCTACATCTTTCCACCATCTTCATACGGCGCCCTTTTAGGCTCGACAGGATGGTTTATTAAAGTATCTGTACTGGAAAATGAACCATTGGGCCCACTCACCCGGCCACACTGGTTTGCAGTTTCAGGCTTGTGCCAAATGGTGGGTGGGGTCTTATCTGACGCCATGCGCGGATGTTATTGTAAGCATATTCGAGTCTTGCATGTACGTTAAAAAAAATAAGGTGTGTGGACAGAAGTTGGCCAGAAGTGACCCAGTTCCTTTGTGCTTCAATCTTCCAATTTTGTATTTTTTCCCCGGCGTCCATCAGCCTTGTGATTTCGAAAGTCGTTACTCCTCTTTGCGCAGCTGACCGCCACTCATTTTACTCCTGTGCGAGAATATACCAGGATTTTCGGCGGTTCCGCATCCTTTGTGTAGTACTTGGCCCATATGTTGCACAGATTTGTGAAAAACATCTCTCAACGCTTTTCAGTAGGGCATTTCCTCCATATGTGACCGATTTTTCCGTTTCTTACCGGTTTTTAATGAAGTCTCATTGGAATTCTCCTCGTGTCCACGTCAGTAGTGGGTTGAAACCTCCACATTTGTTGTCTTCTGGATATTTTTCAGTTGAAAATTGCTAAATCGCAGTGATGGGTTACCGTAGAGCTAGTCGGAGATCAAGAGCAGCGTTGATGTCGACTTACAGAGGTCTGTTGGTCGACGTCTGAGAAATCAGCACATACCACTTCGTTCCTCACCTCCAGACTTAACAGTGGAAGCCTCGTTCCGTTCTTAGTTCGATGCTGCAGGTTGCCATTTGGGTCGGTGCTTTGTCTAGCATAAAAGTGAATAGTGTGGTGTTAGGTTTCTTGTTTATTTTCATTAGACCGTGGGCATGATTGTCTAGACATCTAAGGCATTGCTTGGCTTGTGTGCCCATTTGTGACACCATATATACTAAATTGTGGGCTGGTCATAGTACTTTTACCCATTACATACTGTTTCGTGACTGAGGGTCACTGTTATCTATGTGGTTGTTCTCCTAACCACCTTTGCCACCACAGATCGGGGAAGTTCTAAGTCTTCGATTTTTGGCGGCGGAGGATGTGAGCTGCATGCTTTAATCATGTATATATACTCCTGTTTCACTTCCGCAGCACCGCTTTCAGCTGCTGCAATGAACCGAAGACGTAATCATCGATTAACGGCCTGACAGTGTTCTGAGGAACAAAACGCCTGGGTACCATGATGTTTGGGATTCAGACGCAGCACGTAGGTGATTAGAGAGAAGCAGTGACCTCTTGAGTTCACATGCGTCAATAGCGGTTAACTCAGTGACTTCCTCTCCAGGCTCGAGTGTCAACTTCGTTAGAGAATTGGATGTTGCTAAGCGTGTGTAGGGCCCTCACAGCACACGGTCTTATGTGTGTTCAGACAGTTACAGAAGGTAGGCAGCAAGTTATTTGTCCCTGTGCACACAAGTGTGCTGTGTGTTGGGGACGCTGGGTTTCCAAGCCCCGAGTTTTTAAATCAATACAAGTACACGCATGTGCACACTCGTTCGGAAGCTAACACCGACACCGTAAATCAGGGGAGGACATCGTGCGCAAACATTGTGCCTGCCCGTGCGCTTGTTGCCTTTGGCCCGATTATCGCTGCTCCTCCTGACCGTCGGTGTGAAAGAATGCCTTTCATCTTCGTGTTTTTTTGCAACTCGACTTTGATTTGGACATTTTATTGCCTGAGCTCTGCCCTGGTCACATACATGTGCCCATTTTTCATTTAGCGTGCTTGTGTTCCTGTGCCCTCTCTTTGCTGGAAAAAGTACATCCGGGAGGGTAGGGAGGAATTGTGCCGTTCATGGCAGGATATGAAAGCAAGCATCTCATAATATTGATGCAAACCTGCAGAACCTTTCAATGAGACCGGATATATAAAAAGGCGTTTATTCCGACCATTGACAATAGCTTGACTAAAGACTTTTTCGTGCGTTCATCGACGGTCGGCATCAGAACGGCCCTCAATGAGGGCGAACTGCGAAACAGGCAGACTCCTGGATCTGGCAAAGAAGCTGTCGCGCTTCATACGACAGCGTTGCTTTCAGACGTTGCCGAGCACCCAGCTGGCACATCAGTAAGGTCACGACCTCTAGCAGTCTTACTATATGACCGATGCTGCCCACTCCTAGATAAGGCCCCACTCGCCTTCCGACTCTATCATGAAACCTTGGAGTTTTGTCGAAGGGGTGAATGGTATTATTATTATTATTTCCACGTCACTACTACACGACTACTACCACTGTCATCAAAACTACTACTACTCTGCCACAAGATACCATCATAGCAGGCCATCCACGCCACCAGTGTTCGGGGAGTCACAATTAACTGAACTTTTAAACAAGTGGAAGGCTGTGGTCTGTGCACACCGGTTGGACTTACGGAGGACAACTGGAAATGAAAAAAAGTTATTTTCTGCCCAGTAAAAACAAACATCAGCAAGCTGGACCTCTGAATAGCCGTCTTCAAACTTCGTTACCAGCAATTCATTAGCCTCGAGACTATACTTCAAGCCACGCAGTAGAAACGGCTAGCGCACTTTGGCTAAGGCCTCTCCTAGTTGACAACTGAATCTCAAAGGCAGAGCATCTAACCTGGTCAGACGTCTGTGGAATTTCCTTACACGAAGAATGCCTCTCTGTTTGGTAAAGCACATAGGGTCTTCTCTCCAACTCTGTATACCCAGGTATTTGTTATTTGTCAGGGATACCTGACTCTGACCCTAAAAAGTCATGTCCCGGAGATTTAACTCCAAGTCCTGCACTGATTAATTTCTGAAATTATTCGCTTGATTATTCTCTGGAGTTCATATACCAGAAACCGCTAGAGAACGCTGGGGGTCCCACTGAAGAGCCGAACCCCTCGCAGCTGTGTCACGCAGCGGCAGAATATCGGCGCAACACGTGTCTGGGCTTTTAGCAAGTATCTACGTCGGGAGTACGGTATAATACCTTAAATATATGCGGGCTTTGACCAAAAATATGGCTTCGTCCTCCCTGTATACTCGGCTAATTAGGAACAGTGGCTGCCTAGTACCTAGTGCTCAATTCCTCTGTCCTCCAACATTTGCGTATTCGCCTTGATTCCGTCGAAACGTTCAATGTTGTCCGTAGAACTGTCGGTATCTTTCTGAATCCCTTCTTCTGGTCCATCCACACACGTTTTGCCGATGTGGAATGAAAGCAGAGACTACACAAGTCTCTTACTCAGTCGGTTATCGCCTTCTAAACTATACTGTGTGCGGATGTAGTTGTGTCCCCTGCATGTTAAAGAGGCAACTCTACTCCGCCTGGGAGTCGGCCTATCATATAGTCACCAGCTGCCGCGGCTACTTTGTACGCAATGTGCACATCATTGTCTACGTTCTTTTTGTGAAAAACCAAGCCGTCTTTCTTCTTCGCGCATGTTGTTCCCTTTCGGCTTTTTGGCTTCGCCTTTTCCTTTTTTACGTCTCGGCCCCCATGATCAGTTTTGTCCCTGTTTGCTACCTGCTGCCGCCTTTTTGTCGCCTCTACCCTCCGACAGGTCCTTACTAGACGCACTCTAGTTCACGATTTGACTTCCACCTGCCTGTAAATTCATTTCCAGAACCGCATCCGAATTACTGAAGCAGTTGACAGTGGATGTCAGCTTCCTCGATCTTGGGCGAACGAAAGCCGCACAACTTTGTGGGTCTAAGACTTCTGTCTCCCAGCAATGCTCTTGATAGTGACGTCTTACGTAGGCAGTCTTCTGTTTCCTGACTCTTGTTGGATTAGGCCGAGCAGATAGTGTATGCGATTAATAACCGAACTCAGGGACCTTAAGTCAGTCATTCAGGTGAGTGAAACCACGTTAGCTAGTGTCACCCACTCAAAGTAGACAATTTCCTTAGTGCCAATGCAGGCGAAAAGCCAAGGCCCAGAAAGCAGTTAGGAAGAAAGAAATGTGGTCGTTGGAACAAGGATCTTCGCTCGATGTCCTGGATTCTCACTCGGACCCATCATCGGAAACGGCAGGAACCCTTATCTGTGGCCGTCTCTGTTGATGGGTTCGAGTGAGATTTAGAACTGTCCCGCGAACAAGATTCTTGTTCTAGCAACGAAACCCCCTTCTCAATTTCCCTATTTCATGCAACGTCCGGATAAGGTTTCATTGATTTATGCCCTGGAATGTTGTGGTGGGACCGCGTAATTATGACAAATGGATTGCGTTCCACGCACGGAAGCCTCACGGCAGAACGTGGGCGTGAAGGCCCATCGACCAACAAAACATCGTAAAGATTGCCCACGCAGTAGTCGAAGGGGCGTAGAGGATCAGTGCTATGGGCCAACAATGGAATCGATCTGCCCGCCGGTCACCAAAATGCTAACACCGGAGAATGCCCGTGGCATAGGTGTTGCTAATGTTTACGAACTTGTCACGGTACATTCTCCAGAATAAAAGCCTCGTTTCACGGAGCACGCATTGCTCAAACATACAAAGTAGGTCTCAACAGCCAATCGTTTTTTTATTTCCACACGTTACCGAACCACTATCTTACTAAGAGAATCTAAAATTAATTGTCAGAAAGTTTGACAGCTTGAATCATTTCCTACTTCGACAAGGTTCGCGAGCTCCACATCAACAGTGCGGGGAAGCTGTTTCAGACAGCGCTTAGCATAGCATGCCAAGAAACGTCGATTTCGTGCTCACTTCATGAGGAAGGTTAAGGAGGTATGGGTCTTCCTGTGCAAAAATAAACCTGTTGGTGTGGCTTAATATGCTGTAGTTATTTTTATCTAGCATTGACTTGACATCCGACGATGGCGTTTCTACTGTATACAACTTACTGTTTTGATTTGGTACAAAATTACCACGTCGTACTTGTGGCGCTGTGTGCTTTCGTCATTAATTCGCTTGTATAAGGTTGTGGAGACAGGACTCGTCAGATTTTGCTTCGATTTTTATGATATTTATCTGCTGTCAACCAAATCATCCTTGGTGGTGCAGTCAAGCCCCCTCAGCATACCTCAAACAGGTACTAGGTAAGGTCTTGGACCGTTCTGATGTTTTATGCTGCTGCACAACGCAACTGCGGGGTTTTCGACTCATTAATGCCTCCCTCACCCCAGTGTTTCCTAGGGCTTCTTAAGTTCGGCCTCTACAGTATCTGACCTGTCTCATGAAATGTTCAGCGAAAATCTAAAATGTGTTTTCGTTTAGAAGGGATTACCTATGTTGGGTTGTAATGCTTATTATTGTGCAGCATAATCGCAAGATATCTCAGTCACGACAGGAACCCGGCTTTTGAATGGACTTCCTTCCGGGAGCCCGCATAAACCAAACTCGGTAAAAGTGACTACTGAAGTGGTGTGACTTTTTTGAATGGATTTTTAACGCACTTGTAAATTCAAGTATACTTTATAGAAAACATGCTCATAAATATTCCTTTTTTATGCTTATCTGTTGCCAAATTTCTCCTAATTGTATACTTAAGGACAGGGCACCTTTAGTTTTTGAAAAACTGAATTCCCGAACAATTTCCAACATGGTTTTCAATTTCACTTGAACTTGGGTTTCCAAACAGCATGCTGTATGCTTCTTGTGTAAAGGAATCACACATCCCCCCCTTATCAAGAAGAATTCATATAGGGCTCATAAAATTTTTCAGTGGATACGGAGCTTATCCTGGGCAACATTACAAAATTGACAAGTACAATGCTTCATGAGGGGACATTTCATGATACCGGAAAATCTCATAAGTACAAAATTTTTAGACCTACAGACGTCCATCCCTCGGGTGGGAAATTTTAAAAAGTGTTTTGATGCCAGGTGATCACAGGAAGAATATTTTTGGGTGTATTTTCTATAACATACGTCCGAATTTATAAGGGCATCGAAAATTAATGGAAAAATGCATACTACTTATGTAATTACTTTCTTAGTCCCTATTTCCGTGATTTGGCCGGTCGTACTCTCCTGGTTATTAGTAGTATGTGTCGTTGGTCGCTTGTGGTTCTGCATTTCTTACTAGTCCCCCCCCCCTTGTTTGTGTATTGCAGTCAAAAGGGAAAAATAACTGCGGACAATACGACTGCTGCCTGCGCCTCTCCGCTCACTTCTACCTCCAACCACGAGAGTGAGGGCGTTAGTGGAGCTTCTGTGTCCCAACCAACCCCTCCTGCTCCTTCCGCACTGCCGAACGTGACGGTGGAAGAGGCAGTTCGACGCTTGGTTGACGATATGTCCACTATTCCCTCGGCCACTCCTAACTACAAAAACAGCATCCAAGAGGACGAATTGAAGAGCCTCAATGCCGCTCGCGCAGCAGCTGCCGCTGCTGCCATGGGGGCAGCTCTGGGACTTCATTTTAATGCACCGGGCGTCGGAGAGTCATATCATCATCATACTCCTGCGCCCATCATTTCCTGTTCGCCTGGTCGCCCCAAGGGTTCCGGCAATGCCAACTACAATGCAACCAATCACCCCCTCCTTGATGTCTACCCAAAGCTGGAGTCCTCTGCTACCGGTGACCCGATCGTCGCCCGACCCTACCAGTGTGCCACTTGTGGACGTAGTTTTGCTGTAAAGGCGGGCCTCATGCAGCACCTGCGCACTCACACGGACGAACGACCTTACCCCTGTCCCGAGTGCGGTCGTGCCTTCAAACAGAAGATTCAGCTGACCACACACATGCGAGTGCACAGTGGGGAGCGTCCTTACGGCTGTCGCATTTGCGGCAAACTGTTTCGCCAACAGAGTCATGTGGTCCAGCACCTGCGTACACACACCGGTGAGAAGCCGCACAAATGTGGCCGTTGCAACAAGGCCTTCCGCCAGAAATACAGTCTCATCTCGCACCAAAGAAGAATGTGTCAGAGCCGGGCTTCCTCGAACTCTATGATGGCGGGTATGACTATGTGGATTGGCCCGACGGGTGTTGCCACCGTGGGTAGCGGTGGCTTCACGAATGAACGAACAGCCTTCGAGTCGAGTCTATCGACACATGTCAGAGAAGGGCAGGGGGAGGGCGAGGAAACTTTTAAGGGGGTCGTCGAGGCGAAGACGGAAGCTGCCCCGCCCAACTCGCAATCGGAAGATCACTCCAGTCTCTCCAACCGCTCCTGCAGCAGTCCAGCCAGTTCGCACGAGCTCGCTCTCACTTCAGATGGCGGTGGTGATGGCGGAACCAAGTCTGCTGATCTCTGCGCTCTCTCCTATCATCATCAAGAAAAGCAACTTTCACCCGACTCGAACCCCCATCTGCACCCTAGTCACCACCACCATTCCCCCCGGATTTCCGCTGCTGGTAGCCCCTACGTGGATGTCGCAGATCGCGGCCGGAGATCCTACATGGACAACGAATACACGTCTTTTACCACTTTTCCAAACTCCGACCGTGTGCGCCTGAATGGCGCCTTTTCGGGGTGTCTGGAGGACCCAGTGGAATCTACTTTGTAGAAGACTAACTCTGCTCCCTCCCATCCGCTCTCTACCCAGTCCCACTTCACCCGTGGATATTTGTGCACACGGCGCTCGTTTAATCGCCTATATGTGTGTTCTTTGAGGGCTCCACAGCCGCCCCCGTCGATGGCCCAAGAGCCGCCCTGTATATATATACACACCCGCATATATCCCCTGGATCGGCATTTTGTGCAATACAGGTCTTTCCCCGCGTGTATGCACCATTTTCCTTTGCATTTAAATTGTGCGGCGAAATTGCGCACTGTCTTCTTTCCGCCCTTTTCTCCTGCAACTCCCTTCCTTGTTTTCATTATACCTGAACGCCTGCAGTGTTAAGTCTTTTCAATCCTACTTTGGCGGTGCTTTGTCTACCTCACTTCTTAATACTACTTGCTTCTTCCCGCGTCCCTCTCGGCTTCTTCCTCCCCCTTTGTCTTTTTCTCTCGAGACCAATAATGAGTACTTTATCCTGTTGTGGGTTTTCTGTTGGCGGGGTGTCGTTTATCTACCTCACGAGTTCTCGATACTACGCGATAGTGGTATGTTTGAAGCTATCTCCTTCATTCCGAGTTATCATGAGCCTTGCTGATTCTGCATGCACATTCTTCTGCGTCCCGGCTCCAGCGAATTAAAAACCTAAATAATTAAATTTCAGATTAATAGCCGAGCGTGTATTGCTTCGAAAGATGCGAACAACGGAGGCAAAGGTGTCGCGGGAGCTAGGCAGGTGCGTTTCTCGGTCGTCTTGGGAGATCTTTGATCTGTAAAAGCACTGGCAGGAGGACGAAGGTTTGACTGTGCGCAGTTTAGATGCACACCCCTTAGCCGTCGTTTTATGATTTCAAGTAGCGCCTCTGGTGTAGACCTGTATCATATGCCCACCAGTCTTAAATAAATAGACGGCCTCACCATCTGACCATGCGGTCCCAAAATCTTAGCTGTCTTACTCCATGCGCGCGTCGCTTTTGCCTGTATGTCGTCTGCCCAGTTTGGCGCCATGCGGCCTGCTCGAGCGAACATGCTGCCCGTCGACACTCGGGCTGTCGTCGCGTCTATTGGGATATAATTTAAGGCATCGGCGCGCCGTCCAATCAAACACTCATGAGCGTTTCTCGACGGCAGGCAATCAATTGACAATGGTATTAGTTATTAGGTCGATTCCGGTGCGCATTACGAGGTGTACAAGCACGGCTCGTAGGTTGTTCCATTCCACAGACTCGTGGAGATAGCACGTTATCTACTGTTCTCGCGGGCTGACTACTGCGCCATTCCACGTCTGGCGTTGTTCGTGACATCCTCTCTTCTCCAGCGTTCGAACACTGTGGGACCTCTGTTATTGCAGAGCAGGCAAAACTGGGGTGATCATGTTTACTTTATTTGCCGTCGTCATCATCCTGCCCCATCGCAAATCCCCACCCTGGAGCGCACAGCTTCCCCTGTTCTCCCCCACCAGCTCCCGAAGTTTATCCTTTCCATCCGTTTTGCCTGGTGACAGGTTGCCCTAGACAGCCTGAGAATCTCCGAATAGATTTCTGAATCCCGAAATTGTGTGTTTTTCCGCATAAAGTGTTTTTTTTTCAACAGTTATCTGCGGTTCTCCTGTCGTTTCGCGGATGACGGCGCGTCCGCACTACAGTGATCTTTTTAAGTTACTTCCGATAAGCTTGGCTTGATAGAGTTACTCGAACATCATATGTTTTACTCCTTCAACGTCATGGTTAATTTTTAATTTTTTCGCAGAAGACGTTGAGGTAAGGGTTTTCTTTATCTTGATTGGTAATTGCCATCTGCGAAGGTCCTATAACGCTACCTACATTTAGTCATGTAGAATTTTCAAAATCCTCGTCCTAGGGTTAGCTGAAGCATCATGCACCTGTTGACGTATGGAAAACTGCTAAGCGACGAGGTGAACAATCAGGTAGCGGAGACGTCTGAACTCATATGCGTTCAGACATACATTTGAGAGCGCCTTAAATTTAAAATATCGATTGCTCCCAGAGTGCTTGTAGTCAAAGAACCTTTTAAGTAATCATCAGGGAACGGGGATATAGACCTTCCCACAGTACAGATGGTTTTCTGCTAAATTCCAGGGAGGTGGTGGTTGTTAGAATCACTGTTAGGGTTGAGTTTAGTACCCGGGAATATATACTCGCCCTGGAAGACCACCTGTAGTACGGAGGACCCTTATTCCTGTGTTCAGTCAATTAATCCCCTGAACATTGTTTAAATTCACATGAAAGTAATAATTTGGTAAAAAAGAAAGTGCATCCCGCTTAAGTAGTCATACTTCAGTTTAAGTTTGACCGAGTCAACCGAAGATGCCGCTGGAGAATCGGCACATTAGGCCACATGCAAGCCTTTTGTCATTACAAACGCGCTAATGCGTTCACCTCTGTTGAAGGGATTTCGGGTAGAGCCCTCGTAACTCTGGATGATATGATGGCTTCAGTAAATGGACCGAGAGCATACGACTAGTGCGTCAAGCTGGTTGATGTGCATACTGGTAAGGCGACCCATTGTCACACTGGCGCTAGAATATTGGGATGCAGTGGTCGACTTTGTTTTTTTCGGGATTACCTCTACTGCAATACTAAAAGCATAAGTGTTCCTATGGAATCCGATGCAGTTTTCACGACATGTCCCCTTCTACCTGCCGAGGGGAAAGTGCGGGACCAGAAAACCAGCTAAAACGGTTGCTGAGTAATCAAGAGCTGTATTGGCTTTGTTCTGAGCTCCAGTTCTATGAACCGATTAGTCCTGGTGCATGGATGTGCGCGTAGGTTGACCACCTGTTCAGATTCTATGTGGCGGAAGTGCGTTAACCGATCGGATCACGGGACATACTCGTTCCGCCGCGTTTTGGGGCTCAATCAGTAGCTGCTCACAGTTGTCCTGCCTTGCGACCTGCCAGGTGGTCGATTTTCTGCGACCTCTGACTCAAGTGAATGAAGCTAGTTTGCTCCAAGAGTCTAATGGAATAAGTACGCATCCATTGAATATTCCTTTTCTCTACGGCTTGCAGTGCAGTTACCGAAACACCCTCCGTTGTCTGTATTTAATCTACTCTTAAAACCCTCAGATTTGCCCTAATTCGCCTCAACAAAGTACAAAGTTATTTGATACAGTTTCCTGCCTGAGCAAGATGGCGTGGACACTACTGCCAACCTAGGCTTTTGCTGGTCGCTGTCAATCGAATGAACCTATCATCCGATTAGTTGTTCGTGTGGTGTGAGTGTACATGCTAGGCTTTATCAATTCACTTCATCACGTTTATGCCATTCCATTAAGCCTTCTCTTCTATTTGGTTTCGTGCAGACAGTTTCGGCGGAGAAGTGCTCATTTATCTTATAGGCACCTTTTTTATCATGGTCACTGTTGACGCGCCAATAAATGATGCGAGCTTACCCTCTATCTTCTTCAAAATGTCACGCGTTGCTGACCGCTCACTTTAAATAGGCCAAAGATATGAAATATGCACTTGGATATGGGAATACAGGGTCACTGGAAGCAACCGAAAACCGTTGTCCACTTTACCCCACTCGCTTGCGTCTCTAATACTAGGTGGCTCCGAGCTAGTGGATCACTGAGTAGTACAGCAAGCAGACTTGGAAATTTCATATTTTGATACATTTTTGGGGAACCACGCCATGTGACAGAAGACATGAAATACCAGTACCTGAGGTAACCTGAAAAATGCACAAGTGAGCAAGACAGCACTTGTTGTATGCGCGGCCAGCACAGGAGACAAGAAAATAACGCGAGGTGGGCGCGGCGATGACTTGCGCGTGAATTTGTTAATATCGAAACAAGCTTGTACTGAATCTACCTCCCCCAGTTTCCTCACAGGCATCGCACTCGAACAAGAAGGAAAAATCAAGAAGATCGGAGATGGGCATGAACGCGGTGGCTGACAAAGCTGAGCAATCCGTCTACGCGTGCCACCCAGTGGCTTGTCCTCAACTTCCCACGCGTCAGGCATCCGTGGGGAGGATTCGCAGGCCTCGGACAAATGAGAACGCCGTATAGACCACATTGAGAAGGAGCCATTGCACTCCGACCCTCTTTACCAAAGAGGACTGTCTTATACTGTCCGCTGTTAACCCCTTAACGCGTCGTGATAGCTTTAAGTGGCTATTTCTGTTTTCAGTGAGGAATGGGCCGACTTGCCGCGAGAACGGGTTCCTCTGTGCGGGTCTCGGTCTCGCTCCACTCTTCCGAACCTCCGCCAAGGGCGGGCCACACGAATGCACACCAGCAGGTAAAGCTGCGGTGCAGCCTTATAAATAGGTAGCATGAGCCAGTCGGGCCCTCCTCTGGGTTCAACGCATCCGTATCACAACCCGTTTGAAAGAATGCTCCCCACAGGTGCTTAGAAGTGACTTAAACGATCGAATCGAACTTCCGTCAGTGACGCCGCATTAGTGAGTTCCTTGGCGGGGTTTTGTGTATGCTGATCGCAATGTAAGGCCGGTGGGATGTTTGTTCTTGACTGTCGTACGAGAAAAGAATGAATGGGCGAACAACAGACACTCTCGTATTTGCTATGTGTTAATGTGACAGATTCGGTTAGCGGGGTTTCAATTGTTGAGAGTTGGGCAGCAGAGAAGTGAAGTCGATTTTCGTGTATGTGAGCTGGCGGTTTCCGATTTTGGAGCCACTTTATCTCCAGTGACGACAACGCGCTTCGTCTGGGAGGGTGATTTCTGTACCACATTTTGGCAAGTTTGTCCTCCGCGTTTTCAGCAGCTTTTACGTGGGTCCGTCACGCCCTCTGTGACTGATTTGTGATCGCAGGCTCTCATAAACTAGCAACATGATGACACAGCAGTTGGCAAATTTAGGTTTGTGGGCCAGATCTCGATCATTTATTTGAGTGTGTGACGTCCAAGAACTTTAGCGTTGTTGTTGTTGTTGTTGTTGTTGTTGATGGTGGCGGTGTCCGCGCAGACGTCAGTATTTCACCACAAAACAACAGTCGGTTCATTGCCTTCTCTGTTCAATCTTTTTTCTGTGCTTAGCTGCTAAATTCAACCAGAACTTTCGACAAGGTTAGCCTTGGACTGACATAATCAGATCTGATGAATGGCTTGCAGATTCTCGTCTTCCTGCATTCAGAGCCGCTGGTTTCGTGATTCGACAGCGAATTTTCAGTTCAGGGCCGCGCCTGATACCGTTTTGGGGGACGAGGGTGCGCGGGAACGAAAGACAACCATAGGCTCATTTATGAAGCGCAGCACGTCGCTCAACAGACTGCATTTATTCGTCTATGATGTCTGTAATGTTTGCCAAAGCCACCTGGGCCCGATTTTACCGTCAACATTTGTCAGGCACATCGGTACCTGTCAGTGTGGCCGTTTCATCAGCTTTTGTGAGTCTGCCCTTATGTAGAGGGTTTCTCACGCGCAGATCTTTATGAGATACGGGTTTTAAGCTCCGGTAACTTGGACCGATAAATTTGCCATTTTAGAGGTTTTACTGTTTGAAAATTTTGCCCAAAACAGATCGTATTCAATTAATTAAATTATTTTAAGCGAGAGTCCGAAACTTCAGGTCAATAAACTTCTCGTGCTGACGATCACTTCTTCATTTTTCTTCTTCCTCTTCCTCCTCCTCCTCCTCCTCCTCCTCCTCCTCTTCTTCTTCTTCTTCTTCTTCTTCTTTTTCTTCTTCTTCTTCTGCTTCTGGAAACCTCCCGCGCCGAAAAGTGGCATGGGTGACGGTATCGTTACGATTATCCGCAGGCTCAAGTGACGGATACGTTTATGAAACTCTGTAGATCGATACTATCAGCCGGCGGATATTCCTATTTAACTAGATTAATGCTCAGACCTCATTCAGAATGGAGCCCCAAAAAACGGAAATTTGAACATTTTTAATCCCGATTGTTGTCTTTCTGAAAAAAAAAACACGCAAACTGGTACACTCGGCAACGAGTGACTGACCGACCCCGCGCTCAGGAAATCGTTCAGGACTACTTAGTCGTTTACTCCATTCTAGGACACCGAGGAAGGGGTTTAGCAAACATCGAGTTAGATAGATGAGAGAAAAGTCCTATAAAGTACAAACACCTTTTGTGACCTCTACCAGAATGAAAAGTGAATCTGGATGCTGCTCCACATAGAGCGTAACCAGTTGCACACCGGGCGGTTAATGCCGTCTTGCTCCTCCGTGTGCTACTGCTTTCCTAACGAGGCCTATCGTGAGCATTCGCTAACCTTCAATCTGTTCTCGGGGTGTCTGCGTGTACAGATCAATAGGGTGTTTACAAGACAGCGAGTTAGGAAGGTACTGTAGTTACTGAACAATGCGACCTAGACAAGTCAACGCATGTCCAGCAGAATTAAGACCTCGAAATGGACCGAACTTAGGGAGTGAGTGTATATCAACTCCTGTACTTATAGTTTTCGCAAGGCATGCTGGGTGAGGCGTAGAAGTATTTCCCTGGAGGTTTGGATCAAAACGCGACCCTGGTCAGTAGCAATGCTTCCTCCTGCTGCATTTTCCCACACTTTCTGTATGTTTGTCTTTTGATTAAGGGTAGTGCGCGCACATTCACAGTTGGTCCGTGCTGTTGTCCATACAACAATTGATTTTCTGCCGACTTGGAACACAAGATAAGTCATTAACTAAGCACTTAGACGCCAAAAACCCTTCAACGCAGTCATTTTTAGCAAGCTGAGTAACTCCTTTTTACAGGAGCACGCAATGATATTTCTACAGTCAGCAAAAGTACTTACCTTGATAGTACTTTGCAGTTTCGAGGACATGTCGAGAAAGGTTTGCGAGTAGAAGAACAACCAGGTTGCAGTTCAGAAGATGTGAACTGAATTGCTGGATCGCTTTTTTTCGAGGATCGAGTGAACCTTCTTAAAGCACTCCCTGTAGCATATATTTCGAATTTGTCAATAATAAATCGACTTTTTTGTTGAGCAACTAGTACTACGCTACTGAGAGTAACACTCTGGAGTGCTTTAGCTCATTTCTTAACAGCATATGCAACAGTAAGAGTACCTTTTCAGAATATGACAGCTGGTTTTCCTCTGATAAAGCCGAGTAGAAGGACGGCGTTAACTTAGTCCGTTTATAATTTTCTAACGTGTTTGGAAGCCAAGCACTCTACAGCACTGCTACTGGCAAGCACCGGCATCGAATGGTAATCTCACTTTGTCTCGCCATGGCTCTTGGCGCTGTGCGAATTCAGAGCTTTCTAGTCGGTCAAAAATCCTTACAGTTGGCTGGGACGTGACTAACCTTGGGTGATTTATGCGTTGCTCAGGTGTCATGTCCAGAAAAGGGATTAGCGGTTGCGTTAATTGGGAAGAATAGCGGCTGACGAACGTGGGGAGCTTGTTCATCCACATTTTTCTTCTACGCCTATGCATAAACTATGTACAAATTACCTTTAACAGAATTGAAGGTCATGAACACCCTAAGCAATGACGAATATCTTTTAAACTCATCAATGGACAGGAGATTTTCAAATGTGATAGCAAAACCAGCTGTCTATAATGGTAAACAGTCCACCCTGCACGTTATATTCCAATAGATTTCGTGTAAAACAAGAGTCTTGATACACTGATAAGCAGGCTTGGGCGTCAACTCCTACAAAAATGTGTCATCTCCGTGACCGAAGGACGTTTGATCATACCAAGTAAGTTTTCTTCCAATCCTTCGTCGCACCCCGAGGAGTCACAAGTCAGACCTCCCATTCCGTGCCCGCAGCATCAGGAGAATTATTACTTATTGCCCTTATATCTTGCTGGGTTTGAGATCAAACTTCCTCACAGGAGCTTCCGGTAGATTTTCAACTCGGTCGTACATTTGGCGTCAGAAACACTTAGCCTCCATCTAAACCTGAAAGCTTACGGTTTCTTTCTGTACAGTAGTTTGCCCATATTCGTCTTTAGAAAAACATGAAAGGGTAGCAGCAAGGAAATGCATTGTATGCGGCACAGATGCAGTAAAAACAAAACCGCTGGCCCCAGATTGGATTTTTTGAGGAGATCCTTTCCCTATCGTCGTTACTCCTAGTCCTGAACAGAACGACGCCCTTGATTTTGTAACGACAAGTAGGAAAAATCGGAAGCAAAATCGCGCAAGAGAACCGAAGCGTGGGAACCTCGGCGCGAGACGACACTGCATGTGTCGAGTTCCGCAAAGCCGAAAACAAAAGGATCAAGCGTTTTTTTTCGTGTTTACTCGTTGCCGCCGTTAGTGCAAGCGAATTTAAGAATCAAGCAGTTCCCTGATTGGGCAGTTGTCAGTCCGATTGCATTCATTTTGGAACTAAAAACGCAGTGAAGTATAATGACTATTTCTTCCGAGCCATGCCCCAAGCCCAGCCAGGGAAGACAGTAAATGCGGGTAGGGTTCCAGCTGTCCAGTGCCATAACGTTCTGTGTTTTGGGCAGTGGACTCAAAGTCTGTTAGCTGCAGTTGAAAAGGTGA